CTATTGATTCTGAGATGTGTTTTCCTTTATGCATCTCGACTACCTTTCTGCTTTTCCTGTCAAGATTTTGAATATCTGCTATCAACCAATTACTTGTCCCCATGAAGTATTCTAATGTAGGCAAAGCAAAGACGATGCAAGCTGTCTGTTTTCTTGGTACTGACAAGGGTGATGACCATATAACATTCAATCTTCGTAGATACTCTTTTTCTGCTTGTTGGAACGTGAACTTGTCTAGCTGTTCAAAATTTTCATACTTTCCAAGGAATTTGTACTTGTCGCTAGATTCCATAACTGAGATGGAATCCTTTGCTCCTATTGGTAAATCTTCGCTCTTTGATACTTTCCCTCTAACTACATGCAAAGAAGCACACTTTTCTAGGCCCCAGGACATCCCAATATCTTCATACATTTCCTTAACTTTCTTTGTCACGACTGATATTTTGTTCTCTGATTTTGCATAGAGTTTTAAATCGTCAACAAATAATAGGTGTGTTATCTTCATTGTCCTGTCGTGCGTCAGTTGGTAACCCTCATATCCTCTAATCGTCCAAGCTATTGGGTCAAGACATAGTACAAAAAGCTTGACAACAAAGCTGTCTCCTTGCAGTATACCTCTCTTGACATTTATTGGCTCCAATTGTTCCTTTCCATTTACTGTATCGACGGTTATTGAGATTTTCCAGCCTTCCATTATGTTTTCTACAAACTTTATGATTCGTTTGTTTGTCTTATTCATTGATAACACCTTAAGAATCCAAGCGTGTGTCACGGAATCAAATGCTTTTCTTACATCAGTCCAAACCATTGATAAATTATTTTTATTCATTTTTGCATCTTCTAGGATCATTTTGTCAATTAACATGTTGTCAGTGCATCCCATTACTCCAGGTCTACCTCCTCTCTGATCCATCTGTAGCGTCTTTAATGGTAGATATTCGCCTACGAGTGAAGTGATTGACTTGTACATCGTATTTAAGCAGGTGATGGGACGATGGTCAGGTGCTTTTGGTTGGAGCTTTTTTGGGTGTAGCCCACATCTTCCTTCAAGTAACCATGTGGGAATAGGTGTCTGCTTGTTAATCAGTTCAGTGACTGCTACCGATATACCTTCGTGTGTAGTTGTAAACGCTTTGAGCCAGTAATTCACTATTTTATCTTTACCAGGTGACGACCAGTTTTTTTTTGTTTTAAGCATATTCGTGAATTTCTCCTTTGTGATATTTACGATTTCATCATCATTGACTGCTGTTGACTGGCTAATGGCTTGTTCAACGTCTTTGATCCATTTTGCTTCCAGATTTACCTTCGATTCTTCGCTCCAAATTTTTGGCCAGTAGTCTTCAAAATCTTCTTTGGTAAGTGTTGTTTGGCTTCCGGTTTTGTCTCTTCTTGTCTTAAAACTCACATCATCCGAGTCATCGTTTTTCAGGATTTCTTTAAACGTGTTGTATACTTTTCTTTGGTCTGTGTCATATAGCCTGTTAATTTTGTTTCTCACGATCTGGCCTTTTTTCTTTTCCTTATTGTATTTCATTGATTTTACCACACTAATCTTGTGTTCCCTTATTTCCAGTAACCCATTTAGGGTTATTCTACCCTTCAGTTCTCTTTTCATCCACCTCCTGTTTCTTCTCATGTTTCTCGTAAGTTTCTTATTATTCTTTATTCTCTGTATTTCCTCGGCAATTTGTGAGATCTTGCTCCTAATTTTGTTCATTTTCTCATTCATTCGTTTTTCCCAGACTGGAATTCCCTTTTGCTTTCCCTGGCTGTTGCTGTTGTTATTCCCATCTTTATGATCGCATGCTAACTTCCATCCACAAATCGTTGCATACATTGCACAGTTCACATCCCACAGGTATTTCGTTGGTTCTTCCTTTGGGCTATGCATTTCCAAACCCATAAGAATTCCTTGCAGGTCTTGCAGTTCTTTACATGTTGGCTTCTTTTTTACATATGTGTTTAAGCCACGTCTACTCCAGTCCCCAGGGATTGTTTTTACATCAAGATATTTTTGTTTGACTTTTTCTTGTATTCCTTTGAAATGACTGTCTAGCTCCGCATCTGGCGTAAAGGGTGGATTTTCAATGCTCCTTTGTTCGGTTTCTACATTATTCAATGCAGCATTGTCTTGTATTTGGCATTCTGTTTGTTCTATTATCTCATTTTGTATTGTCTGTTGGTCTGTTATTGTCACCTTCTCAATGCGTGCAGCTTGGTCTCGCAAGTTCTTTGCTGTTTTGCCTAAATCTGCGTAACCAATTTCTTCCCAAAAGATTTTTGTGAGCTCCATCACTCCAGTCTTTCGTCCATTTGGTTTGCGTGGGCAGTCAGCTCTTGTATGGGTACTTTTGGCCTTTTCTTTGCAGTTGAGTAGATCCATATTCATTTTTGCGGTCCAATTTGTTTTTGATTGGCGTCGAGCATGGCTGCTTTGATGTTGTTCCCCATCTTCCATTCTGTATTTCGCTTTTGCGACTCCTGTTTGACTTTGGAAGTGTTGCAGGTCGCTAATTATACATTGGTATATAGATATCAATAATATAATTACATGCTCCTTTCCTAAAATACGCATAATGAGAGCATTATTTTAGGTTCGCGTGCGAGATTCCAAACACGTCCTCTCAGCACGGCGCCATCCAGATGATTATTATTATTATTATTATTATTATTATTATTATTATTATTATTATTATTATTATTATTATTATTATATATTCTGTATGCGCAATAAGACTTGGACAAACCCTGAACTGCTCTCCTTCTAAAGATTCTTTGCACTCATATGATTTATTTAAATGTTATAACTTTTGTAAAATTAGTAAACTTGTCACCAGGCTAGCCGATAGTAACTACCTGTAAAGTGAGGTTACTGTTGTAAGTAGAAGAATATAAAATAAAAAAAAATGTTTTCATTATTATTATTATTATTATTACATGATCAGAACGACCGTATGTTTCAACCAGTCCATTGGTTTCAATTCGCAGACGATGCTGCCGTTATCACCAGCAATGAGAAAGAAAACCAACTTCTACTGAATTGTTTCACTCGCTGGTGCCAATGGGCTAACATGATCATACGTGTCGATAAATGCATCACTTTTGGAATCAAGAAATTTTCCACACGTTCTCTTCAGTATCAACCTAAGCTTTTCATAAACAACGAATCTATCCCACCTGTCTCGAATGGAAATTCTTTTAAGTACCTCGGTCGTCATTTTGACTTTGAAATGACAAACCAAGAACATAAATCTGATCTTTTATCATCACTGTCCAACATGCTCAAGCAAATTGATTCCCAGCCTCTACATGCAAAAAATAAGTTGCTTCTTTATCACAACTTTGTTCTTTCTAAAATCTCTTGGAACCTTACTGTAGCAGATCTTTCAAAGACGTGGGTTGTCGAGAATCTTGACAGCCTCGTATCCAAATACATCCGCCAGTGGCTCGACCTCCCAATAAGTGCTACCTTGAGTAGCATTATTCTTTCTAAAAACCAGTTTGGACTCAGCCTAACTTTACCATCCGCCAAATTCCTACAGTGTCAAACTATTTTACGCAACGCATTGAAATCTTCACCAAACGATAACATTCGCTCTTTATGGAAAAATACCAGCAGTAGCACAAATATACAATATGATATATATAGGAACACGAAAGAAGCATTAAAGGCTGTCCAGCAAGAACATAAAGATCGTCTGCAAAACATTCTAACTTCCCAAGGATCTTTATTGTCACATCTTTTTAACCAGGATCTTCCACAAATAAACAAACTTTGGTCCAAGGTGCAAAGTAGCATGCCTCAGAATATTTTCAATTTCACCATAAGGTACCTGAACAATACCCTTGCTACACAGAAAAACTTGAAAAAGTGGAACTTGAGCCAGACTTCTGATTGTTCTTTCTGTTTTCTGCCAGAAACCCTCCTTCACGTTGTTGCTGGCTGCAAAACATACTTGGAACAAGGCCGATACACCTGGCGTCATAACTCTATCTTAAACTTTCTAGCTACGTCTCTTAAAGCTGTTAATGAATCTACCATCTACGCTGATATACCTGGCTATCTTTCACCATCAATCATAACTGTAGAAAACCTTCGCCCAGATCTTCTCTTGAAGACTAACAACAATTACCTATACATCTTAGAGCTTACTGTTGGTTTTGAATCCAATCTTGACACAAATGCAACAAGAAAACACAGCAAGTATGCTCCTCTCCTATCTGACTTACAGCGAAAGTTCAAATGTGTCTCTTTTGTGAATCTTTCTATGAGCTCTCTTGGCATCTTTGGCAATTCCTGCATCTCTTTCTTCAAAATGTGTGACTCTCTCTCCATCGATCAACAACAAAAACGGTATCTCATCTCTAAACTTTCCAAAATTGCCATTCGTACTACGTACTACATATTTTGTTGCAAAAATAAACCATGGACAAATCCGGAATTACATCCGTTTTAATTTTGGTTGTTTTATTTTTCTCAGTTTTTTCTTTTACCTTACGATTGTTATAGTTTTTTCTTGTAAAACCAGGCTAGCCAATTGCAAATTACCTTGTAATAGTGAGATTTGTAATTGTAGTTTAAGTTGAATTGAAAATGAAATGTTTCCATTATTATTATTATTATTATTATTATTATTATTATTATTATTATTATTATTTGCAACAAGGACTTCAAGTCGTTAGGCCGCCATAGCTGGCGTTGCAAGGAAAAAGTTGGATCAACAGCTAGTGGAAGAGATTCAAACAGGAAAAGCATAAATTCAACAAGCGAAGTGTTTCTACCTGTTTCCGAGACCCATTCGACAACAAGTAACTGCTCACATGTTCAATGTTGTTGTGGAAAAGTTTGTAACGGTCTTCGAGGTTTGAAAATGCACCAGCGCAGCTGCAGAGCGATCAAAGGCCTTGAGGGTGAAACGTTTGAAACCGTTCAAAGCGAAATTGATAATAGCTATGATGGTGGATCGAACGCAGCTGAACAGTTGGATCGCTTTGATTATTCAAATGTGCCTGAAATTAAACCCGGAATTAAGCTACCAAAAAAAGATGAACAATGGAAAACTGCCAACACCTACTTCGCTGCAACATTGCCTTTAACAGAAATCAACCCATCTAACGTCAACGTTTCCATAAAAACAATGAACTCAGTCATCTATGATTATTTTCAGATCAATTATGGAGTATCAGACGACGTGATTAATACAAATTTAATTGAAAAATACAAACACAAGACAAAAAGTTCACTCAAGTCTTGCCTGAAATGTCTCAAAGAATCACAAGCTCCTCTCTGTGAAATTCGCTATGTATCTCGGCTTTTGCGTTCCAAGGTGGTACCAAACAGCGATACAAACAACTGCAATCATGATGCTGAAATCCAGAAGAACTTTTGGGGATATGTTAAGAAAACTCTTAAAAAGGACAAATCGATTTTACCTTCCTTCAACGTATTTGTGTGTACCGACTTCTTCCGCACTTTTTTTTGTAAACTCAATCCCACAAAATCTTTCAAAGTTCCAGACTGGATCCCATCTCTATCTCTCCCTTCAGTTCCATACAATCTAGATCCTCCTTCTTACCATCAAATCACGAAAGTTGTTCGTCGAATGAAGTCGTCTGGTTCGCCTTGTCCGCTTGACAAGCTATCAATAATACCTTTTAAAAGATGTCCATATCTCCGTACATACATGACTGAGCTAATTCGAATAATTTGGAGTTCGGGTGATATACCTGAGGAGTGGAAACTGGCCTGCACAGTGCTAATCCATAAACGGGGCGATGCATCTAATCCTGAAAACTTCCGCCCTATCACCCTTGAAACCATTCCACTGAAAATATTCACATCTTGCCTACGCGATTCGATGTTTGCATTTCTCTCCGCAAACATGTACATTGAACACAGAATTCAAAAAGGGTTTCTTCCAAGACTGTCTGGAACATTCGAACATACTGCACACATGGCTTCTATCATTAATAAAGCTCGAATCAAACAGCGAGCTGTCGTCATCACATTACTAGACCTAAAAAATGCTTTCGGTGAAGTCCATCACAATCTGATCCCAGCAGTTCTTCGCTATCACCACATCCCTGAGCACATTCAAAACATTATCTGCAGCCTTTATGCTGATTTTAAAACATCTATCATAACCGATACATTTCGTACCCCTTTTATACCGGTAGGCCGCGGTGTCCTTCAGGGTGATTGCCTTAGCCCATTAACCTTCAACCTTTGCTTTAATACTTTCATTCATTACATCTCAGATAATAAATTCAACCAGTTCGGCTTCTATACAAACTCCTTAAACCCTGTCCATTGGTTTCAGTTCGCTGACGATGCGGCAGTGGTTACTGGTCAAGAAAACGAAAATCAAATTCTCTTAAACCACTTCTCTAGATGATGCTCTTGGGCAAACATGCATATTCGGGTTGACAAGTGCTCAACATTTGGAATTAAAAAATCATCTACTTCATCTGTTCAGTTTCTACCCAAACTTATTGTCAATAAAAACATAGTTCCCACTGTTGAAAAAGACAAATCTTTTAAATATCTTGGTAGATACTTCAACTTTTCTATGGATAATAGTGATCATATGTCAGAACTATTGGAAACTGTCAACTCGTTAATGTCGAGTATCGACAAATTGTCGTGTCATCCAAAGAACAAAATTCTGTTATACCACCGATATGTTCTATCCAAAATTTCCTGGAACCTGACCATCGCTGATTTAAGCAAGACATGGGTGACAGAGAATCTAGACAATGTTGTTTCAAGCTTTGTTAGACAATGGCTCGAGCTGCCAATAAGTGCTTCACTAAGTAGCCTCGTCATTCCAAAATCGAAGTTTGGCATCAATCTCATTCTTCCATCTACCAAGTTCTTACAATGCCAAACAGTTATCCGCAACTCTTTAAGACTGTCCCCAAACCAAGAGATTCGCTCTTTATGGAAAGACTCTAGCACTGGTACAAACATACAATATGACGTTTATCGCAACACCAAACAAGTTCTCAAATCCATCCAAAGTGAACACGAAAACCGCATTGAAAACGTTCTTACATCTCAAGGATTTATTATCTCGTGCATCTTAAAATTTGCTTCTAAGGGAACTAATCAACTTTGGTCTGGTGTCCAGCAAAAGTTATCAAAAAACATTTACAACTTTACCATCAAATACCTAAACAACACTCTTGCCACTAGGAAAAACCTCTGCAAATGGTCAATTACTCAGTCATCTGCCTGCTCTTTCTGTCTCCAATCAGAATCATTACAGCACATAGTCTCTAGCTGCAAGAATTATCTTGAACATGGTAGATATACCTGGAGACATGATTCTGTACTTCTATATTTGGCTAAAATCCTTTCAACACCTAGAAACAGCTCACTTTACGCCGACCTGCCTTCATTTCTATCACCTTCTTTAATCACAGGCGACTCCTATCGACCAGATCTTGTCTTCGTAACTGAAGATCGAATCCTTTACATGCTAGAGCTTACTGTTGGGTTCGAAAGCAACATCGACGAAAACAGTACTCGAAAAGCTAGGAAATATAGCGACCTTATCAAGGAACTGAGCCCTGCCTATAAACGTGTTACCTTTGTTAACCTTTCTATGAGTGCCCTTGGCATTCTGGGAACCTCATCTACCTCTCTCTCTGACATGCTACACCAACTTAATTTTGACTCAAATCAAACTAAATCCATCTTGATGAAACTCATGAACATTTCTATCCGCTGCACCTACTATATCTTCTGTCGTCGAAACAAACCATGGCTAAGCCCCGAACTAATCGACTTTTAAATATTGTAATGCAGATAAGCCAATTATATGATGCCTGTAAAAGCGAGTCGTATAATTGTAAATTTAAAATGTATTAAATGAAAATGAGATGTTTAAAAAAAAAATTATTATTATTATTATTATTATGACACATTCGCTCTTTATGGAAAAATACCAGCAGTAGCACAAATATACAATATGATATATATAGGAACACGAAAGAAGCATTAAAGGATGTCCAGCAAGAACATAAAGATCGTCTGCAAAACAATCTAACTTCCCAAGGATCTTTATTATCACATCTTTTTAACCAGGATCTTCCACAAATAAACAAACTTTGGTCCAAGGTGCAAAGTAGCATGCCTCAGAATATTTTCAATTTCACCATAAGGTACCTAAGCAATACCCTTTCTACACAGAAAAACTTGAAAAAGTGGAACTTGAGCCAGACTTCTGACTGTTCTTTCTGTTTTATGCCAGAAACCCTCCTTCACGTTGTTGCTGGCTGCAAAACATACCTGGAACAAGGCCGATACACCTGGCGTCATAACTCTATCTTAAACTTTCTAGCTACGTCTCTTAAAGCTGTTAATGAATCTACCATCTACGCTATCTACGCTATCTTTCACCATCAAACATAACTGGAGAAAACCTTCGCCCAGATCTTCTCTTGAAGACTAACAACAATTACCTATACATCTTAGAGCTTACTGTTGGTTTTGAATCCAATCTTGACACAAATGCAACAAGAAAACACAGCAAGTATGCTCCTCTCCTATCTGACTTACAGCGAAAGTTCAAATGTGTCTCTTTTGTGAATCTTTCTATGAGCTCTCTTGGCATCTTTGGCAATTCCTGCATCTCCTTCTTCAAAATGTGTGACTCTCTCTCCATCGATCAACAACAAAAACGGTATCTCATCTCTAAATTTTCCAACATTGCCATCCGTACTACGTACTAAATATTTTGTTGCAAAAATAAACCATGGACAAATCCGGAATTACATCCGTTTTAATTTTGGTTGTTTTATTTTTCTCAGTTTTTCCTTTTACCTTACGATTGTTATAGTTTTTTCTTGTAAAACCAGGCTAGCCAATTGCAAATTACCTTGTAATAGTGAGATTTGTAATTGTAGTTTAAATTGAATTGAAAATGAAATGTTTCCATTAATTCCGTTGAGCGGTAGCGTGCGGACGCTTCTGTACACGGCTCCTGTTTGACTGCGACTTACTACGCCTGGATTTAATTTATGGCATTTTACTGTTGCAGATCTACCAAAGACCTGGGTTGTCCAAAACCTAGAAAATCTTGTTTCCAATTACATTCGCCAGTGGCTTGATCTTCCTGTTTCTGCAACATTGAGTGGAATAATCCTCTCAAAAAATCAGTTTGGCCTAAATCTACAACTGCCTTCTGTCAAATTTACGCAATGCCAAACTGTCTGTCGCAATGCCCTAAAATCTTCTCCTAATATTGACATTCAAACCTTATGGAAAAACACCAGTCATGGCACGAACCTACAGTACGACATCTATCGTAATACTAAAGAGGTATTAAAGGCTGTCAAATCAGACAACAAAGAACGTCTCTCTCAAAACTTACCATCTCAGGGAGCTGCAATTACCTTCCTACTGAAACATTCACTGGAAAAGCTGAACGGTATTTGGTCAAGTACACAGAGCAATTTGCCTAGTAACATCTTTAACGTTACCATCAAGTATCTTAACAACACTCTTCCAACTCGTAAAAATCTGCTGAAATGGAACCTTAGTCAAACATCTGACTGTGAATTCTGTCTTCTTCCAGAAACACTTCTACACGTTGTTGTTGGATGCAAAGTGTACCTTGACCAAGGCCGCTATACTTGGCGTCATAATTCTGCATTAAACTTTCTAGCCACCTCCTTCCAAGCAATAAATGGGTCTTCTCTCTACGCAGATTTACCAGGCTTTCTTTCCCCTTCTATCATAACTTGAGATCAACTACGCCCTGACTTACTTCTCAAAACTAAGGAAAACTGTCTGTACGTTTTAGAGCTAACCATAGGCTTTGAAACAAATCTCAACTGCAATGCTGTCAGAAAGTCAGAGAAATATGCCACCCTCGTATCTGACTTAAAACGTCAGTTTAAGTCAGTCTCGTTTGTCAATCTTTCCATCAGTTCACTTGGTATTTTTGGCAACTCCTGCAGCTCATTCATCGACATGTGTGACTCTTTGTCCATTGATCATCAACAGAAACGCTACCTCATCTCCAAACTTACAAGCATCTCCATTCGCACCACATACTATATATTCTGCTGTAGAAACAAAACTTGGACTTATCCAGATCTACTCCCCTTTTAATATTTTTTCTTTCTTTCTTCATTACTACGATTGTAATAGTTTTTATTTTGTAAACACAGGCTAGCCAATTACAAATTACCTTGTAATAGTGAGATTTGTAATTGTAGTTTTAACAGGAATTCAAAATGAAAAGTTTCCATTATTATTATTGATTGATGATTTTGGCACCTAATTGCTCTCTTTACGCAGACCTTTCAGGTTATCTCTCACCCTCTATCATAAAAGGAGACTCTTTCCGTCCTGACCTTCTTCTAGTCACTTCTGACCATCGCCTTTTCATACTCGAGCTTACAGTAGGATACGAAACCAGTGGCGGCTCGTGTATTGGGGCTAGTGGGGCTCAGCCCCACCAAAGATTTCCAAAAATAAGTTTTAGACTTATAAACGTAAATAAATTCAACGTCCATTATTAATTTAGCACTGTTCACTAATTTCGTTGCTTCAAGTTTCACTGTTTGCTTATCTCTAGTTTGTTTAGGTCCCACTGCCCGCGGTTCTTTCGAAAGCTGAACAAACACGCGTATCGGAAACCATCTCCCGAGCTTTTGGGGCTAGCCCCAAACTAGCAGAGAATGCACCAATCAAGTGCCTCTCATGACTCGACTTTTTAATTGATGACTGCCTTCTGATTGGCCAATTCTGCTCGAATCTGCATTCCTTTGGGGCTAGTTGAAACTAGCCCCAAATAATTCAATTCAACGGTAGCTGAATTTTTGTTATTGTGATAGGCAATGTTGATCTTGAAGCGGAACGCAGCAGAGTGGCGTGTATTCGTTGACTCGCATTTTCAGCTTTAAAACTTTGAAATAAGGCATACAAGTTAGATCTTTATCAGAATTAATTTTGCCGATCTTGAAATAAGCTCATAATGGGAAGGCTAGGCCGTAGGCCTTCTAATGGCATAAAGCATATTTCCAATGCAGGCTTTCAACTGGAGCAATTTTAGCTTCACGGCATATGAAAATTAATCAATTAACAGTTTGAACTTTTTGTTCTTTAAAAATTTTTAATTGCCATGATATGCAATGCAAAGGATATCGTCTACGGGTTGGCCATATTCAAGTTGTCTATGTTTTTATGGACATCCCCCACGAACTCCCCTTTTTGTGAAGAGAGAAACGGTCCAGCGGACTTGAATAAATAAAGTTGAGCACACCAACATTTCACATAGTTTATTAATTTGCTTATTAAAAATTATACATGATTAATAGTAACACTTGAATATTACGTCATCAGCCCCACCAAAAATTTACCCCAGGAGCCGCCACTGTATGA